TTATGATTGGTATAATCTCTAACCTCCTGCATTTAAAACGGCATATTTTTAGTATATTCTCTTTTCATGGAACGAGTTCAATCCATGCATCCTCAGTGTCATAAAAAAGCCAAATTTACAATACTGGTTGACGTTTTCTTTTTAATTAATAACAAAGCGCGACAAAACTACGCGTTGCTAATCCTTTCCTGATATACATATTAGAAAAAAGGGGGCATGTCGCGATATCCTGGTCGCGTTCTCAATAATTAAAAAAAAGCAGGCAAAATTGTAATGTCGGGTGTTTCTCGAATTTTTTTGTAAGGCTTGTAGATTGAGTTTGCGCCATAAAAAAGGAAGACAATCTTTCAAAAACCGATTTAGTGTCCTTCTATTCCTCCTTTCTCTACTTCTTATTTCGGACACCAGGCCGCGCAAATGTTCGCGGCACATTCGGATGGCCTGCAACTCCCCACTCCTCTCCTTCGCGTCTTTTTCGCTAGGTGGCGTAGCTTCCCCCAAAGTCCGCGATGAACAATCGGGCCTTTGCTCTACGGTTCGACTTGATACTACATACTTAATTATAGACAACAAAAAACGCACACGGAAAAACAAGAGAGCCCTAATCAATTCAAGCTGAGGATTCTGCGCACTCGCAACACAATGCATGGCAAACACTTAAAACCGGAATTTAAATACGTACATCTTAGACGCGTATTATACCTAAAACAAGTAGCGAAAATCCGCCTAATTAGTTTGATGCCCTAAGCGTAGATATACGTGTAGTTTCTTTGGAGGACGCTCATCCTGACGAGCTTCCCCGTTCCCCAAATCCCTCCGGGTGTGGGATTAGCGTCCATTAGAGTAATGACACCCACACGCGGGCCCACGGTTGGGGTGCACAGCGGGGCGGCACTAATAGATCTAGCCAAATTACACTGGATCACGCGCCTCTGTGCCGCTCCCACCTACAACTAGAGAGAAACAAAAGAAACTACAAAGCGAAAAAAACAACAAAAACATCTGAGCGCAAGATGGAAAGGGCTACACCCGCATACAACGTTCGCCCCATTCCATAACAAGCCACACCCGCCCATAGAAAAATGATTTCGCTAAATTTAGCCGTGATACGAACTTTAGGATCGGCTGGCAACGTGCTCCTCGCAAGTCTGCCGAACTAGTTTTACACTTCAGTATTTAGAAGCGGGAGGAGGAGATCTGCTGCTTTCCTTTGAGCGGCATGTGCTTTTCCCAAGTGGGTAAGACGATTGAAATGAATGAACTGAGTTTATTCCTTTACGATTGGGCTGTCACTTGCGCCATCTGGCCGCGGTGTACCCCGGTAACGTGAAAAAATACAGATGATCACAGTCATTAAAACAGACGTTAAAAAAACAAGCTTAATGTCAAAGTGAATGAGATATTCGGATACACGTCCAATAAATGCTTCGTCCATAAAACTGAAGCTCCAATAAAAAAAAAAACACGCTATGTTAACTTTTCAAGTCTATAGCGACCGATCGGCAACAGTAGTTTCTACATCTGAAGAAGCGGTTTATACTATTTCTTTTTTTAGCAAGATACGTTCTGCTTTGGTCTCTATTCTTCCATAAAGGCTGGTAAGGAAGCGTGTGACGGTGTCACACTCTGATCACGCGAAATGCAACGAAACACGATATTTATGATTGAGCGGTGAGTAGCGCCATCCGACGGAGAACGTGCGAAGAGGTTTCAAAATAGTAATTGGTAAATCCATACTTCTGCGCATCGAAATAAAGTAAACAAAGAAAAACGAAATCGCCTTGTCTGAGAGTCGATTCGTCGCACCATGTATGGATGCTCGGCAGAAAATGTTTTGTTGGTCAATTTAGGCAAGCTTGAGCTTAGGAGTGGCTAGTAACTTTGTGCGCAATGCACGGTTCAACGTTACTAAAACACGCAGTTGGGAAACTCACTCTTGAAACTTGGGCCGCTGGCGTCCACCGAGACAGAGCTAAATTAGATAACAACGCCGCCCTTTAGCCACGAGTTGAAACACAAAAGTTGCTTCACATAGCTACTACGAGATGGCGCCACCGGCCTTGCCCGACTCGACCAGAACCAATACATGCAGCCGTGCAGTTCCCGGAGTGGACGCTGCGGGAGAAATGGCGGCGTTGCGAACGCCATTAGCTCGGTTCTCGAGTACGGATCGGAGCAACTTTTTTAAAGCAGGCTCTATGGCAGTTTCCCAACTGAGGGGTTCTGGTAACGTTGGTACACTTGGAGAAACCGGCTACGACTTTCAATATTATCCGCAGGATCAACGTCCCGACGCCGCTATGAGCGAGGAGTCCTCTTAATTTATGGTGTTATTGTGCTCATAAGAGAGTGGATATGTTATACCAACCATCGCAACTATTCCGTTCAAATTGGACAGCCATTAGCGCCCTCTCAAAAGGAATTAGTCCAAGCCGTCTGAAGTATTACAGGCCACAATTGAAGATTCGTAAAACGCTATTTTCTTAAATTAATACTAAGATACAAAGCGTTTTAATCCACTATCAGTCCACGTTCGCCCACCATATCACGGAAGCATCGCCGTTCTGTAGCGCCAGTTTTTCGCGGTTTATTGTACCCCCCTCTCTCTTTCCCTTCTTTCCTGCTTTCAAACACGGCTCAAACACCAACGTAAACAAAAGCGCCCATAGATGTGTGTATGTACAAGTTTACAAATACAGCCGGCATCTTGCTGCGGTTGCGTGTCGATTCGTCTGAGAGTAACGGCTTGCTAAGGCGTTCCTCTCGGTGGCCAGACTGATGTCCCGACAAAGAGGTTCCGACGCACGGTGGCCGGACTTTGGCTTTTGAAGCGTGGCTGTGCTTGCAAACGTGTGCAGACACACCTAGAGCCACCGAACAAGCTGCGCCTAAAGCACCGCACTTCGCTCTCCGATGCGCGTGTTTCTGCGCGTTCTTTGCAGACGCGCGCCATCTATGGTAGCCGCAGCGCCAACGAGCCGAGTCCGCCATTGTTTTGGGCGCGTATTCTGAGCGCGCATTGGACACGACGACTGCGTCAGCATTCGGCCTGGACTCGGATCCAATTACACGTTCAGTGCTCAAAAAATGGAGAGCAGCAGTGTTGCTCGATGGGTTTTTTGAAAAGGGTCCTTAAATTCGGCTTTCCTCGGCCCTAGACGCTGTCCGGAAGCTCGGGCGATTTTGTTTTACGTCTGTCGCGGTTTGTTTAGAGATTTCTGGTGGACCCAAAACCGTCTCCTGCTATTTCAGATAACTGGCAACAATGATGTGAGCGCCAAGATGGTTCAAGTGTCGTTACTTCGAAGCAGCTTGAATAGACCCTTTCCGGAATTGTGAAATGATGCATAGATTATGCGCAGCCGCCATTAGTTGGTCTCATCACTTCCGGCGTGAGGCCCGCGATTGGTTCCGAGTTCGCGCCGAGCATCGACGCAGCACTCGTGTGGAATGTGGTTCGACCCGAGCGCACCCCGAAGGCTGACGAAGCGCTCGTGTCCAATGCGAGCTCACAGTGCATGACCTAGTAATGGCGGCCGCAAAGCATCATTTTGAAGGTTCGAATAGGGTCCACTGGTGGTTCCAGACACACTGAATCCCGAGCGCGCACCAAATGTTAGGAGCAAAAAAAAACAAAAACGCAAGATTATTATTTAGAATTTGCCGCGTCAGTATAGAGGCGGCGACAAAGAGGTACAGAAACCCGGCACCCCACAGCCAAAAAGGATGTGCCTCGTGCAAGCGCAAACGGCACAGGAAAAAAAGAAATCTGGGAGGAGCCCGAGAAGAGGAGGGGGCGGAGCTTCCGCCCTCAAGTGGGCGGGGCAGCCGCGCGCAACCCCCATACACGCACACACAATCACACAGAGAGCGCATGCGTCCAATCCAAGCAGCCAATCAGAGGCCTTCCCCACACCGTGAGTCCCGTCGCAAAAAAAAAGAAAACAGGAGGGGGAGTGGGCGGTGACATGTGCAGAGCGCGCGCAAGCGCAAGTCCTCTAAGAGTGTGAATCATGGCGATTCCCAAGACATTATGAGTGTCAAGAAGAAGAAAAAGACACACGCGACAATCAATCAACCAACCAACCAACACAAAAGCAGACTCACACTAGTGTTGAGGAGAGAATGTGCATCGCACGCGCCGTGTGCACACGACGACGACGACGACGACGACGGCGATGTGTATGCAACTAGGACAGGCTTTGTAAGAGGACATACGGGGTTTCGGCATGCGCATCGCAACAAGTCTAGGAATGCTAGTCAGCTAGTCGGATCAAGACCTCTAAGAGCACTCGCAACATAATGACCAACAAAGGAGACTGGAAGAAAGATGGTGATAAAACCACTATGACGCTTAAAAAAAAAAGAAACGAATAAATGTGAGAACACGCGATTCGGAAAGGGGTGGAGTGTAAAGAGACCACGCCTCCTGCGTTGAAGCCAGGCTAAATCGTGCTGTGCTTTTTTTTTACGTGTCGGTATTATTTATTTGATTTGATTTTATTAGCTTATACTAAAGCCTGAGAGTCGGATAACTTATGGACGCCTTTACATGTACATTAAATCGATTTATAATAATTGAATAGATCCTACATGACTGATCAGCTAAGCTGGATTTATAACATAGTAAAGGGGTAGTATCGTGCGCACTTTCTTAATTGTATCTTCCCAGCAGCTATCACTACTTGACTCATGTAATACCTCTGCTCTTTCTCATCCAGCGAATAAACACTTGACATTTCACGTGGATGCGATTCCGAAAATACCACAATTTCAGGGGCGGTGTTAGGTATTGCTACATTCGTAAGCTCCTCTTCTTAAATTAATGGATTGGCATAGCTAAACCGACATTATAGTTTAAGTGACCTAGCCCACGGTTCAAATTCGTACTACGCAAACTGGAAATCCCAAAACCAGGTGGGCGGGAAACGGAGGCGTGGCTACAGCTGCAGTGGGCGTGGTCTCGAGCATGATTGACGTACAGAGGGCATTGCACTCACCGTCTGTTGCTCCACCCCGTTGGTGGTGACGATGGGCAGGGCGAATGAGCCGTCCTTGGTGTCCTGTCGCTCGCCGCCATTTTGGGCGACGTACTGGGGGTAGCTAGACGCCATCTGCGTCTGCACCATGTGCTGCGGAAACAAAAAAAGGGATGTCCAGCGTTAGTTTCGTAAAACAAACGTATTCGGCACGGCTTGCATGCACCGACGTCACGACAGCGGCCATTGCGAGGGACCTGGCCGAATTCGCGCGGTACACCTTCAGCGAGTAGCACTATAAGTGTACCACCGACGACGTCATGTGCACGGTGCAAGCCATGTACAAAGCACGCATCGCTTCCTTTTTTTTTTTTTTTTTCAGTGTTGACAGGAAAAACACTTATCAAAACGTGCCGTTTACAATCCGAGTCCGCGTTTGCCCCCAAGCTGCGGGCAGTGCGCATGCGTCACCACAAAATGCTGCATCATTATAGTGACGTTACAAAAAGCGAAAAAGCATTCGTGTGTATCCTGTTTTTTTTTATTTATTTATGAAGAGATATTTGTGCTTATCTATATGGGGTGGAGACTGTCCTGTAGTTTTCGTGCTGTTCTGGAGATATTCCACAGGGCGCTTTCACACAAAGTATTCCATTTCCTTGATCTTACATTAAGCACACACCCGGCCGCACGACCTGTCATGATCAGAATTCTTTCTTCGCGATTGGTTCGTCCGCGCTCTTATCAGCGAATGCCGCACTCTCATTGGCTACGAGGAGATAATGAGATGTTGGGGACTCGATCGCCGTGTTCCGCGTTCCTTCAGTTGCCACTGGCTATCGATCTAAGCCTATATACTAGGTGAACGGCACGTTAGCTGGTGCAAAAATGAACCCGGGGAACGGGTGATCTGGCGCACGCGCCAGACAACTTATAAAAACGAAATGGCGGAGAAAATTATCTCCATGAAATTCAGCCACGGATGCCTCGTTCCATTTCGCTTCTGCTGCAGACAGAGGTATAGTCAAAATTAATTAAATGCGTCCGAAAAGGGGATGGCAAACTAGAATTCGGAAAACGCTTAGTTTAGCCGTTCTTCTTTCTCTTTTACTTCTTTTTTTACGGTTGTCGTTTGTTTTATTTTAAAACTGCCGTGCCAACATTTAATCTGCCCCGTCGGACGCAAACAAATGCGAAGTCGGTCCACAAAAGTCGCGCGACCGAAATAATCGATTACCCGGTTCCTTCCCAAAAACATACAAAACAACAAAAATCTCACATTCAGCGGAAAAGCCATCGCGGGGCAATCGTTCGAAGAATGTCCCGAACAACAGGGTGCCGACATTCCCCTGTCAACTTCCAACCACCTAACTTACCCTCCCAGCCTCTCCCTCTCTCCACACCCCCCCCCCCCCCCACGTTCCCTAGCACAGTTCCCATTTTGCTGCTGTCTTCCCCTATACCCTAGACTTCCTCTCCCCTCTCCCCCAGTCGCGACTGCGCAATAAACATGCGCGCGCACACACACACACGCAAACAAACAAACAAACAAGAAGGCGTGTGGAGTCCGTTGACGACCACAAGGGAACAAAAAAAAAAGAGAAACAAAACCGAAACAAACAAAAAAAGTGGAATCCACAATCCCGACAACGAAATTTAGAGCGGGAAAAATGCCTCGGCATTCAAAGCTCCCGACAACGGCGGTCTATTTCGAATTCAATTTAACCCCGCAAGCAAGCTGAGTTGGCCACGCCGGCAGTTTGAGACTTGGGGTAAAATAAAAACATGGCAGAAAAACGAGATATCACAACAACAACAAAAAAAGATCAATAGGGAAACACTAAACGAGATAGCAAACAAAATGAGAACGTAACTAACACCGCAGCGCCTCCGGTAGTGGACCGTGGAGGAGGTACAAAATGGCGTACGGTGGTCGACGAACGCTTTCTTTCTTATTAGTCCTTTCCTTATTTCTTCCCCGTGTTTTACTTTCTCTCTCGCTCTTCGGAACAAAATAAGGAGGAAAGAAGGGAAAAGGAACTCCCTAGGGTTCTGACCCCGCGGCCCCCGAACTTTGTACACTGGGCTGAAAGTTAGGGAAAAGGGGAAATAGGGAAGCTCAAACGTTGCGGGGGGATAATAAAATTAGACGAAACGTTAGCGCGGCTGTAACCTTTTTTTTCGCGTCCCTCCAGGGGAAATCTAGCGCAACTTGAAATAAGATCGCCACTGAAAGCCCTCGCGGGAATTTAGGGAAAGAAAGACTCAAAAGAGAACCAAACTTACTCCAAACGCTAGGGATCAAACAGTTTAATATTTGATTTCCCTCTCCGTTCAACGGGAGCCCTGGTTTCATCATAAATACAAGTATGCGCAAATATTAAAACAAAAACACGGAAACACGGAAACATATGTTTAGCTATTTTCACGACCTGTAGATTGGAACGCGTCTCCGACTGGTGTGCTTATCCTCAAACGTGGTTGCCGGGACGCTAGAACGCCGAGTTCTTATTGGCTCCGCATTGCGGCTGCTGAACCGGGGAGTCCAACGGTCAAAAGTAGTCCTAAGGGCGGCCGACTTTGGGTTGTAACCGGTTGAACGACGCTAAAATTTTAAGTTCGCCAAAAGCGGTCTTTCTCTCGCTCTTTTTCTCGCCAAAACCGGAAACACCTGATCATGCGTATATACACACCGCAACCTGCTGTATATAGACGAGCGCATTTGCACAACGGGAGAGGTTGAGCAGTGTGCGTATATAGCCTCGTTGCATATAGGCAGCGCCGCCACTGCTGAGGTGTATATCACATTCATAACAAACAAAAACGTACAAAAACACGAATAGACATACATACCGACGCGCATACGTATGTGCGTGCTTATACTGCACGCAAGATATTCAGATCGGTTTTTTTGTTTGTTGTTGTTGCCTGTTCTTGCGTGCAGCCCCTCAGGTCCCGTTGAAACTTCGTCCCTCCCGCAGACTCAAGTTTAGGGCAACGTATACCTACCGAGCGAATAGGGAAGCTTATCGGAGTCGTACGCACGAGACGGCGGGTATAAACACACGGCCGGATAAACTGGACGAAAAAGAAAATGAAGGGAAAATACATATAGCGATACAAGAACGCGCGAAATACTACATCGTGCTGCTTCCTATTAAAAAAGAATTTGAACTTTTTTTGTTTTGCAACATTTTAACGAATTCCCGAACAAATGATGCTCTAGGGAAGAAAAGGGGAGGAGTCACAGCGAAAACACACGAGAAACAGAAACAAATTTTAGAGAGATAAGAACTGCGATAGGGGAGGCGACACGAAAATAAAAGGAAAACGTATGTAGGGAATAGAAAACATATATATCAGGGTAAAAATGGAAGCCACAAAGCACGGAGCCGAAAGTCCATTTCCTCGACTTCCCCAATTTTTTCCCGTCGGTCTATATATTCCTTTTCTTTGTACTCTTCTTCCCTAGAGGAAACTCCCGACTCCCCTGCCGTATACATTACGTATACGACACAATTTGAGCAGACGACCAAATTTTAGCGGTTGACGTAGAAAAATGAGTCTTCTTCCGGAGCGACAAACAAGCGGGAACACACGCACATCAAACGTTCGCTTGGAAGCGCAGGAACAAACAAAACGAACAAAAAAAAAACACGGAAATATTCGCGAGTGCGGGGAAAAGTACAAACTGAAGCTTAAAAAAAGGTACCCTAGTTTGCACATATACGCGCAAGAGCCCAAACACACAGACAGAAAAATATAAAACAAGGAAAGCTCAAGGACAGCTACAATCACACACAAACACAGATACAGATATAAGTAGGAAACAGTACACGAAATATAGAAATGCTCAAACGCATCGAGATTAAGCTGAATAGGACCGCAAGAACCATTAACTCGCTCGCGCGCGCACGCACACACACACACATACACACACACACGCAGATATATACCAACACTTTTACATACATCGCGTCGAAAGCACAAGAACAAACTGCACAGAAGTCGAGTCACATACACACAAACAAACACATCACAAACAGAAGCCCTAAATCCAGACAAGTTCGTAACAGAGCGAAGCACAAAGGGTACAAAAATGCATTTCGCAGATACATAAGATCGCAATAAAAAAAAAAACTCAAAAAGGCCACAGATATATGCACATAACACCACGAAGAGCAGCACAAAAGCCATAAAAAGACATGCACACACATACACAGAACACGAACAGAAGCACAAAAACACGTGCACAGAAGCACGCACGCCATGCAAATCCAAAACGTCTCTCACAAAGAGCACGGCGGCCCAAGGGGCGGCCATCACAAAGGAGAACGCGTTCACTGCGAGCGGCGAGCTGCGGATACCGCGGATGAATACGCACAAAGGGAAAAGAGGGAATCGGGAAACGGACGGAAGAAAAATAGCGCTGCTCTGCGTCGAGGCGAAACGAGGAGAAATACGCCTGTTTTCCAAAAATCCGTCGCGGCGCCGACGTTTTCGGATTCGCCTACGACGACTGATAAAACATTTGTACCCTTCTCGACGCACGCGAGCGCGGCGAAATGATTAAAAATGAAGTTGGGACGCACCGCTGCCTCCTTTTATTTCCCCAAACCAAATCCCCAAATCTCCAAAGTGCTACGGCGGCGAGGGCGTAGCGACGAGCAGACGGATCTGGTGGGATCAACCGGGTAAACGGCAAGACGCGCTCGCGGCGCGTAGTGAGTTTGAAATCCGGAAGGGTTACACGCGGCGCTGTTGACGGTAGAGCTTATTTTGTCGCGACATCAACAAAGACGAGCAATTTAAGGATTTTGAAACCGGAGGTCCAAATATATTCCAAAAGTCTGTCTCCGTCAAAATGCTTCATACAACTTCGCAGGACATAAAGAACAAACAACCTTTCAATCTCCAAATTTACAAATAAACACATGCACGCACGACTAGCACGACCGACGCCGACACAAGCGGTTTTTAAACAGTTACAAGCGACTTAAAAACCGGTTGTGTCGGAGTCGGTCGTAAAGTGTGAATGCGTTTGCAATTGGGACCGGGCTCTTGCGATTTCTTACGACGGGAATACCTAGAGAGCCTCAAGAGTGTGTACAACTCTAACCATGATGCAGAGCGTTTGAAATTTAATGGCGGCG